GTGATTTATTATTTTTTAACAGACTTTATCGTTCTTTACACCTAGAATCTGATGATTATCTTCATTTTTATCGAAGTTAAGAAAAATATTGTCTATGCAGTGGAAGAGAGATCTGGGTTAAACAAAATAACTTTGTGGAACTAATTGTTGCAATAACAGTTGAAGTGGCATCACTCAAGACACACTACGGTTTTATCTGCGGACTCTCTTTATTTTCTGTTTTCTATTATCTATTGATTATGTTGAGGAGAGATAAGGACTATAAATGAGATCTTATTATGGCTGATTGATATGTCTGTAATATGATTGATATGTCTATAAGTCCATTTTAGTGCGTTGAACTGTGTAACGTGTTTGCTCGATAAAAATATTCGTTATTTTAATTGATAATATCAAAGTCAAGATGTTCGCGTGCATTGTTTGTATTACATTAAATTTTATATAAAATATTGTATATTTTTACAAATATCAATTAACGGCATTTGATTAAATTAATCTTTAACAATAATAATTTTTGAAAAATGTTTAAATTTTATGCAATCGTATAAATATTGTGAGTTATCGAAAGTAATATTCACGTAATGTAATAAGAATAATATTGCATAAATTAACAAATAATACTTATTGTAAAATCAGTAATAAATTCTATATTGAATTAAGCACATCAGTTTAGTTTAATTTAATGTAATCATGCAAGTTCAAATATTGATATGCATGAGAAACTTCTTGAAAAATAAAGTGAAAGTCGAGTTAAAGCGTTACACTTACAATTAGATATAATTATGAACTTTCAGCACTTTCGAATCTTCCCAAAGTTCATCTAGCACTTGCATAAGTCTCTGTCGCAACGTCTACCTTCCGTTTTCTAGCAAAAGACATATTATTTGAGTTCCCATTGAAACGAACGACCATGTCAGCGACAGTCCACTGCCGGTCTATTCGACACGCTATCTTGCCGTCACGATGACATCGCCAAATTGCCAAGCCTCAGTTATCATCTCCTCGCAGCCATTTTAAGATCAAATTACCCGCGCGACAACCTCTCCGTCCACCCGATAACGCGTCTATCATCGCGGTGTCGCGCGCGAATAATTTCGCGCGCTGCAATTTCGGAATTGTACAATTAACTGAAAGCGCTTTTTTTCTTTTTGATTACAGAATGCAGCCTCGACTAAGACGAAGGATCCTTCGTCATCTCCAACAACGACGAACAGCACGAATGGCGGGACTACTGGCGGTAACAACGTCGGCAATGGACACGCGCCTCTGAAACGCAGCTACACCTCCTTGATGACCACATTAATCGAACAACATCGAAAACTGGACCGTAGCGTGAGCGAACCGACATCGCGCTACAAGACAGAACTCTGCCGGCCATATGAGGAGAGTGGCTCATGTAAGTACGGCGATAAATGCCAGTTTGCGCATGGATATGGCGAGTTGCGCAACTTGGCACGTCATCCAAAGTACAAGACCGAGCTGTGCCGCACCTTCCACACGATTGGCTTTTGCCCATATGGACCGCGCTGTCACTTCATCCACAATTTCGAGGAAGCTCGTATCCACAATCAGAAGGTGAGCGCCCAGCTGGGCTCAACGCAGCCTAACATAGTGGGCTTAAATCCATTGATGAGTGCGGCTGCCGCTGCAACAATGCCACTGCCAATAACGTCAGCGTCAACGTCAGCTTATTCGAGCAACTTGCCGCGTCGTCGCACGTGGCTGCGGCCGCGGCGGCCCCTGCCACTACGTCGAACCTCATGCGAACGAATTCATTGAGTCTCGGTAGTACTGCTGCCACCAGCGCGAATAGCTTCAATCAGCCACCGTTGCTGCGAACATCGTCTCTGAGCTTGGCCACGAATCATCATCACGCGGTACTTCGTCCGGTGAACGCCGTGAATACGGTAATGACAAAACCGAAACCGCTCAATCTTAGCCCGACGTTCTCGCTCGGCAGCTCCGCTGATTCAGTCTCGCCGTCGTCTAGCCTCAGTCAGTCGCCAACGAACTCCATGGCGAGCTTCTTCAGTGATGATTGCAGCCAGCAGACGCTTTCATGCGGGAATATGCAGACGACACCGTTCAGTTATAGTCAAGACTTCAGTTTGCTCGCCTGTTCAAGACAAAGCCCGAGCCCGCGCAATAATGGTGTATGCAGTCCCCTCGCGTCCGATGAGGTAACACCCAGAACTCCCTCCCCGTTGTCACCTAACACGGAATCCAGGTTGCCGGTCTTTAATAGGATCAGCAGCACCCTGGGCGACTTCGATAATCTCAAGATCTAGAGCGGTCGCCGCGCGAACCGTAAAGAAGAGAGACGCGAATTCTCGACGAGTCTCGCGTTCGGAATAAAAAAGGAGAAGTTTTCACGTGAATTGACTCGAGATTTGGGCGATAGCTTCTCTACAATGAATTCTGTTCATGACGGAATTGACGTCTTTTTTCTTTTTTACGCAGATAGAAGTTTGCGTGATGCGATTTTCCCTTATCCGTCATCGGTCGTATTCCTGAGAAGCATTTTAGGCACACGTCAGGTTTCATTATCTTTTAACTAGCATCTTTTCCTCTTCTTTTTTATATATTATTATAACCATAATCTTCATATATATCATCGTACTATTGTAATATATTATTATATTACTACATATATTATATTATCATATTATTATTGATACATATTTATCATCTAATATTCTTTCTTTCTTTTCTTCTTTCTCATATTCTTAGATATTCTTTTCGACGCATATCGTTAGACGCGAGTGACTTTTTAGCAGAAAAGTGAGATCAGCCCGGATGTCTCAGTCTGCTCGTTTAAGCCCGAATATGAAAATGGTTGGAGGACGATATGAGAAAAAAGAGAGAGAGAGGGTTCTGTGGATAGATGCAGTGGGTGCCAGAGGACACCAAGCGTAAATTTATTCCGAAATGTGACTTTCCTCCGAGCAAGTTGTTTATTGATCTCACTTGGTAGATCCTCATTACGCCTTACGGTCCCCACGAACCCACTGTCTGCGTCCGTCATCTTCTTCCGTTGGATTTTCGAGTTACAAACAGCAACACGCTAAATCCGGGGCAGGTAAATGTTGCAATATCCAAATAACATATACGATTACGTTTTGTCGAGTTTCTTTTCCGAAGAAGGAAGGGTGGGGAAAGTTGTCTCGAGAGTGAAAGGAGAATAAGCACTCCAGCGAGCGAGCGAAAGAACGAAAGAGAGAAAGAGCGAGTGGAAGAGGAGTATATGACAAAGTGAATGAGTGAGCGAATGAGTGAATGAATGAGAGAGAGAGAAAGAGAGAGATGCGTGAAGTCAATTAACGCACTGCAAACGGCGTCGTTTGTTGCAAAAGCGGTCATCACAAAATTATATTTATTGAATACGTTTTATGATTGCCACTTTTATCGCAATCGGTTTCATTGATCCTGAGAAATGTATAGCATATCATCGAAAAATGAAACCAATTAATGGCATGAATTCATGACAATATGTTTCAATTCCGCTTGTTTTATGCTCGCATAACATGAACCGTGAACGCTTCAATATTACGATTGTTGTACGTGTATGCGATTCTGTTTTAAAACCAACATCCATGCTCTTGCTAGAACAAAAGGTTTTGTTCCTGATAATTTTCACAAATGGACTGTAAAGCTGAGACTGTAGAATAGTTTTAGGATTTTTATTTTTATTTTATTTTATTAAAATCGTATGAGAAGCGGGCAGATAATTAGACCTTTCTCTTTTGAAAATATTCGAAAAATTCACACTTCGACGTCGTTTCCAGTGATTCCGATCGTACAAGTGAGTGCCTTTTATAAACTTCGATTGTCTTCCATATCACAATGAATAGGCTATACGTATGAAAGATGGGAGAGAATGGCGATGATATTAAAAGAGAGCGTGTGTATGTATATATGTATGTGTGCGTGCGTGCGTGCGTGCGTGCGTGCGTGCGTGTGTGTGTGTGTGTGTGTGAGAGAGAGAGAGAGAAAGTTGAAAAAAATAAACTGGACAATAATGAGAAAGAAACAGTATGATTGATATGTGTTGCGTTTGGGCAAGTGTATGAAAAAATAATTATATTTTATATGTATATATTTTATAAAATATATACATAATACACGACACATACACACACATACATATCGAGAAAGAACATATATAGAATACTTTGTGTGATTGAATTATCCAAAACGCTCATGTCGATTTTCGACTGGCGTTTTCCTTTTTCTCGGATGAAAGAAAATACTTCTTTCTCGTCGCGAAGCTCGTTGACTTTTGCCTTTCATTTTTTTTATATATATATATACATGTATATGTTACATATTTAATGATATATGTTGCACCCATGATCGCGACGAGGAGAGAGAGAGAGACTCACTTCGGCGCGAACGACAGAGCTATGGTGATGCCGATTTACTTCGTATGTATTGCCCTTTCCCAACAAAAAAATGTGATAACTGTAATACTATATTAAAAAATGTGGTAATTATTGCATATAGAAATATTTACTATTATAAAAAAATATGCTATAATAATAAAAATGCAAAGAATAAAGATGCGTGAGAGAGAAGAATGAGCAAGATTGAATGAAGGATGAATGAATAAATGAGAGAAAGAGAAAGAAAATAGCGTGAGAGGCGGAAGTCGGAATGTTCGCGCGGGCCGCGTGATTTCTCGAAGAGACATTTTTCACATTTTGTGACATTTCGTTCGAGACACAAGTCTGAAAAAAAATTGTGTAAAAGTTCGTTGCTTGCAAATCTCGACGGGAAAACGCCGACCCCGCGTTGCTTCGACGTGAATTAATAATTATTACAAAAAAGAATACGAGCGCCTACAAACTGACGTGGTTTTCGAAAATCGATATCATTCTGTATATAAGCGCTGAACTCTTTCTTATGCTTATACGAGAAATGTTTTCGTTTAATTTATATTTGGATGCAACTTTGTTATTATAGATTTACTTTATTATTATATTATTAATATAATTATTTTTATTATTATTAATTATTAACTAATTATTATAATTATCGCTGTATCATTATATTATTATTATTCGCAAGTAATGTCACTTCATAATCAATGCTTCCAGCAACGAACGAAAAGTTCTGCCGGTTGCCTCTTTACTTCTCTTTCCTTTATTTCATACAAATAAACGCGAGTGCTTCCTATTCATAAAACCCACCCGATCGCAAGCGATATCGACGGTGTTCTAATATATTGCTACTACCGTGTCACATTACTATATATTATTATTATTATTATTATTATATATTATTATTATTATTATTATTATTATTTTCATCGGCATATCTATTCTATTTAGCAACAATCATTCCTTTTCAGTCACTTCCATATCTCTCATTACCGTCGTCGCTAAACCAAAAAAACCTGTGCTTTGTAATCAATTGTATATAGTTCGCGCTATATATAGAACTTCAAAATTATTAGCGATACGTTTTACGACGCAAATGATTCGTATTATTAACGCTTTAATTGACAGCAATGGAATTTAGTCGCGACTTCCGACTTGATCTTCGAACTGACATCCATTACCTCTCCTTGCCGCTCGTCTTTTGGTCAACCGTAATTAAGACATGCAGTTTCAGGAACTGAAACTTACATCGATGAATATGATGGTATTTATTCTTCTTTTGATTCTATTATATTGGAATCATACTTTTCTGATTTTTATTGTAATTTTCTTCCTTTTTAAACGCGATTTTATTCATAGAAAAATTAATTGCTAAAATCAATTTGCTAAAAAGATTAAAAAATTTCTTTAAATCTTAAAGCACGAATCTCTAAGATACGAACGGCAAAGGATAGTGCATGTCAATGCGAAAATCGGAAAAAAAACTAAATTCTATTATTGCTTACAGGAACGAAATATGAAGATTATCCCTTCCCTTAATTGAAGGCGTTATGAGTGACAGTTACATTTTATCTTGTTTAGAAATATTAAAATGTGAAAAATTAAGGTAATCATAGAATGTATTAAAAGTATTTTGCAGCGCGTACAAATATATTATTAAAAAATATTGTTTCGATATACCTCTAATAAACATTCATTTTTGGACACTGTATATTCTCAACATTTAGTAATAAATGATAACTTTTTAACGCTAAGATTATCAACTTTTAACTAAATTCAAATAAGACAACATAATGTACAAAATAAGACGATTTAAAATTCGAACTTGAAGAAATGTCCAATAAAATCGAAAAGAAATAGAAAAGCTAGACCAGAAAAGAAAAAAATTTAGTTTTTAAATAATAATTGTGAAATCATATTTAACACTAATTGCATGACGTACCTAATTGCGAAGTGTGCAAGTTTCTTTACTCGAGGGAAAATGCAATTGAAACGCTGCTAAAATAACGCCTTCAATCTTCACCGTTGTGCCAGTCGTGCAATTAGAAATCGGGGACGGAAACAGAGAGAGAAAAAGAGAGAGTGGGACGAGGACAGACTGAGACAGACGCGGAGAGTGAAAGTCTCTCCTTACGCAGAGACGAGTTGTAAGACGTCCAGGCCTCGTAAGAGGACCAGAGGGACCGGGAAAAAGTACGTACAAAAAGTAACTTCTTGTCAGTCTTTTATAGAAAAGAAAATTATAAATATTCGACGTTGTTCATCGCGAGGCCAAGCATATGTCCAAGAGACATACGTTTCGCGATCGACATCGTCGCCGAGAGCACATGGAAGCGACGACGGCGTCCTGATCGAAGCACAGCGGCTGGACGATTGGAGTCCCGAAAATGCGTTCCGAGACGCCGCATTCGATTCTAATTATCGAACGAATCGGAAATCGCCGATCTCTCGAGTCTTTTCACTTATCTTTGATTTTAGCTGGATCTGCTAAAATTCTTTTTTTTTTTATAGAATTGAATGCATGCAAATATTTTGTTTCCTTTTTTTCATTTTTCGCGGAACCGCAAAAAGTGGAAACATTTTTGTTTTCGTCACTGAGATCGGCATTACCGAACTTAAAAAACTACTTTTTTTTAAACAAATTTTATTTTTAATATTTTCTTTTATTTAAATTATTGCAAGTTAAGTATATCATTATTTTCGAACAAAAATTATTTTCTGAGTTCGATATCTCTTATTCTCGTATGTTACTTACTTGTAGAATAAGATTCGTTACATCACTTAACACGGAAGATAAAGCCAAATATTTAGCTTATTTTCATTTAAAAAAATACCTTATAAATTTCATAAATTTTGATTTACCCTAAGATTTACCCAAAATATTTTGATGTTAGTGTATCGATATATAATTTTTTCTTTGAAATTAATTGAATAATTATTAATATATACTCTTCCGTGAACTTTTGTTAAGTGAATCAATTTATTAACCCCTTGGTTGCCAAATATACATACATAACGTTCAGAACGTTAACTAGGAAGCTTGATAATAAAAGCGAATATATAATTTTAGGAATAAATAATTAACTAAAGTTCTTATTTGTTATTAATTTGTGAAATAATTATTTTAATTTAGCTAGGGAAATAGTAAATTTGAGCAATATATAATTATGTCGTACCGGTGCATTTCTATTTCGTTTATTGCAAACTTGGAAAATATTATTTCATGTATCGCAACTAAAGGGTTAATTGTACTCGAGCTCGGACACATTGATGGATTCCACAATACATGTATCCAGCCAGCCTCGCGTTTATATCCTCCTATAGACTTGACCTGCATATCAAATATCTAATTTTTCTGCGTCTAAATATCTAAGAATAAAATAATTAAAAGTAACAAATAATCTACCTTACGTGTATGTCTCTTTTTTAATTTAATATATTTATTTTTTCAATCAAGTATTTATATATTTATATAATATTTTATACTGCGATCTTCACAGATTAGATACACGCTATATATAAAATGCGCGTTACGATGTAATGTGAAACAGGTCGATCTCTTGGCTCTCAGAGGAAACCGATATATCCCGCCTGTGCACACAAATACACACATACGTACACGTAGAGTGTGTATGTGTGTGTGTGTGTATATTGTAAATATATGTACACATACACACATGCATATGTACAACATACATATATGCGCGACAGACATCCCGCGTACGTTTTCGCGGCCCGTTTCTTCCTTTGTAACGCTTCCGAGTCTCTTTTCCGATTTCCTTTCGTCGGCTAGCGCAATTCATTTTTTTCCTGGCCAGAAATGTCTGCCAGGAGGCATGGCGAAAGCGAAAAACAGAGAGGAAAGCGAAAGCTTTTCGCGTATACTTAACGCCTCAAATGTGATACACGGCCAATTATCCTCGCGCGCGGGAAAAAGATATTCTCTCGCGCGCAAGATATTCAGCTGTGAAAAGAAAAGTGTCTTCGGTGATACATACTAAATATATATTATAGATTTGTGCGACAATCGAAATGAAACAATGGGAGCCAATTGATAGGCTGGCGGAAGTCGTTCGAGTCTCACTCGTGCAGAGAGTTCTGGTCTACTTCCTTTTTTTTTTTACTCTGAATTTATACATATTGCGATCGCCATTTCTTTCTTTCCTTTTTTAAACTTCATTTGATTTGTTTGAGTCGTGAATTCGTTTGACTTTATATATTCTTCCGTGACAGGAAATTGATTTTAAATAGACAAACGAAATTTTTGACTAGAGTCAAGGACGATTGGCGATCGTTGAAAATTCTACGAAAGTAGGATAGATTTGTCTCTAAACGGGTATTCTCAAACGGCTTCGGTCTAATCCACAATGGGACCATATAACCAATGATAACCGTGAAATGCGTTTAGATTTTCGTTGTCAGAGGACTCGCGGGCTTATAAAAAGAATTGTAACGGGAAAAGGAATCGGAGTGCCGTTTGTCTCGAAGAGAGATCTCGAAAGAGAGGATAACGTGTGTCGATTATTTGATTTGTATTTTTTATTTTGTACTTTTTCGGATTTTCCACTTCGAGACTTTCAGCCGATCGTTTCCTCTCCCCGATGATCTTTCTTTCTTTTGTTTTGTTATGAAAAAATAACACGCTCGGTATACACGGAGTATACGGAGTTGAAGTCTCATGTAACACACGGAAACGTAAAATGTAGTTTGATAAGTATTGCCAACTATCTATTTAATACATTTTATTATTACAAAATAATGAGATCGACGTTGTTATTTTGACTTTCCCATTCCACGAAGATAATAGATACATTTAAAATTATATGTACATTTTTCATACTTTATCAAGACAAAGAAATTATATTTCATATATCCTTGTTTTCAATTTAATTTGAAATATTAATGCTTTAAATTAGATTTTATATTTTTTATTTTATATATATTATTTCTAAATTCGTTTTATACGATATTTATGATACATATGTGAAAATTTTTATTATTGATTATAAGAATTACAAAATGATTTTTAATTAAATGATTTTTGATTACAAACATAATATATTCTTTAGTTTTTCTCTAAACTATTTATAATATTCATATATTTATATTATAGTACATCATAATCAGCTCGTCATTAAATAGTTCGTAACAACTTGTAATGAAACTTTTATTTGATAAATGATTATTGATAAATGATCTATGGAAATACCGAATAATAATACTCATTTTAGTACACAAGAAGGGCAAAGAGCCAGTAATGTATAAAAGAACTTTAATTTAAATTAGCATTAAAAATAAAACAATATAAACACACACATTATGTTATTAATTGTAATTGTTTATATGAATTTTTAATGCTAATTTAAATTAAAGTTCTTTTATATATTACTGGCTATTTACCCTTTTTGTGTATTACATTGTTTTATATGTATAGAGTCTTATTATTATTTATTAATTACTCATTTTATTGTCGCATTGGATAGATTTACAATAATAAAGTCGGAACATGAGGTAAGTAAAATGATAATATTTTTATATTTAAACGATAAGTTTTGTAAGCAGCATATTTTCTATCTTTTTATAATTTTCCTTTTTCTTTGAGAGAGAGTTTGAGTGTCTTATCACAATTCCTTAACAATTAATTTTTAATTAAATCCGCTTTCCAATCAATGATAAGATTTTGCACTTTTTAATCTTAACTCAGTGAAAATAAAGTATACAACTTCAAATTTTAATATTTATCTTAGTATTTGTTATTTATTTATCTATGTATAAAAAAATATGCCAGATAATAATTATTTTAGATTAACTTTTAAGATCAGAAATATCTTCAGCCAATATATAGTTGCGCAAAAAGTAATGATGGTTGTCTGTAGTATATAATTCCTGTGACAGACATTAGTAATAGGAGTCAACAACGGAATATTGATCCGATTATTAACTATATCGAAGAATGAACGATTCGTTATTTTAATATCCCATGGTGTGCTGATCGCTTTGGCATTGATTGGCTTCCGATTGATTTATCTATTATCCTGTATTAACCTCGACGTCATTGACGAATTGCAGGCTACGTCAGCTCATTTTCTCATTCTCGAACAGAACGACGTCACAAGGTCAATCAGCGTAGCTTCCTAGTTTGCGATTAGTTAAACAGTTGCCTGACGTAAGTTCGCCGACTGTGGAATGTCTATAGCAATATTTTACATGCCAACAATATGCGCATCCAAATGATTCGATCAAGCACAATGATACGCAAATTATCGTTAAAATTGGCTGACAAATCGTTGACGGGTTCGCTTTTATTCGTACCGTCTCGTTGCTCCTTCATTAGCGTTTTTATTGCTACACACTCCTCATTTGAACAATGATGTCTGAATTAATGAGATTATTGAACCTCGTTAAGAATAAGCTAATTGCGAATTGTACAAACGAAAATCGTCTGTTTTATATATATATATATATATATTTGTGTCTCTTTGTATTGTTTTTTCTGAAAATATTATGTGCATATCTTTTTTTAAAAGAGATACCATATGTATATTCCTTTTACATTTCTATTCAAGTTTTAATATAAAATGAAAAATAATATTGTGATAATTCGGATCTCTTTTAATTCAATTAAAATAATTTATGCGGACCTCATGATAAGATTGCAAGTGAAATGAAAGTCGGAGAAAAGCGACGCGACTGGTCCACCGTCATGCACAGGCTTTGTAATGGACAGCATTCCGCAAGTATGCGTTTTTACATTGACGACGCGAATGCGGTTGTAAAGTCGAGAAACGTCACGTTTTACGTCAAAACATTTTTACGAATCTTTATGTATAACGTAATAATATTTAACTGAATTCGTTCAGTGGCGAGTAGATACAAGGCTACACTCGCAGTCAACATTTAATCGCATTCCATCTCTTACCCCTTTTCCGCCTCTTGCACACACCTTTCTCTCTTCGAAATGCGAGCAACGTAAATTTATTATAATTATAACTTCACGTGTAAATACATTGCGTGATGCATTACTTCTACATTGCGCAATATATTTATTTATTTATAAATAATATATATGACTTGAAAGAAAAATGCGTTTTAATTCATCCTAAGATGCAGAATGACACATTTTAATGCAAAATTTAAAATTTGACTCT